TCTCTCCAAACTCCCCTCCGACGTGAAGAGCTGAGAGGACAGAGAGGCTCAGACGAACAGCTGGATCCGCTCGCGGATGGTCTCTGCCGGCAGGCAGGGGGTGGGGGTGGGGGGGTTCAGCTGTTAACTCTGGGAAGAAGACTCAGTGACCTGTCGCACCCTCCTGCTCATTCCCACCCCACCCAAGTACTCACTCAGCCCATGTTGCTTTACGATGAGACGCTGTGTTACGTCGCTGAGAGTCCAGTTTGTTACGTTTCGAGTGGTTCCCTCTGGAGCAGCGCCGGCGGGAACTCGTCGATCACTTTCACTTTATTTTCAGCATCAGAACTGATCGTCGAAGTCGTGAGGGGATGCTGCCACTTTGAATACTCTAATTGGTAAGCTGAGAGAAAAAAAGCCCACCCACTCCCCTCCCTGCTCCTGTAATCTGTCCTATCTTTGCTGCTTTAAGTGGATGTCTGTTACCCATCATCCTCTCTGGCTGTCTGGCCTCTTCTGTTTACAAGGCTGCACAGAATCAGTCCCCGTGTTCTCGCTCCCTCGGCCTGTCCTGTGAATTATGTTTGCTCTCATTCGTATCAATCTCTTAATAACCAGTGTTAGTCTCTGCAGAGGGAGTTGGTATAACTAAAGGCTCTCTCTATAGTCCCCAACCACCCGCCTGTATGCAAGGGGAAATACACACTATATATGCATGAGTATATGCATATTGTAAAGCTGAAAATGACTGTGTCGTCATGGGTGATTTGTCGTTGTTGTTGTTTTATTTCTCTCTGGTTACATTTGTGGTTTTTCATGTACCGATAAGTACAGGTTTTTATTTATGTGTGAAAGGTGGTGTTAGTAATGTCTTCTTCTCAGTTGGTGTTTGCTTGGCAAAAATGTTTTTGTTTCTACTGAAATTCACCCCAAGCCTATGTCCTCTACTCAGGGTATCAAATTATTGAAAGCACTTGTGATATCCATAAAGGTTAAACAGCCCCCCCCCTCCTCCCCCACACACACCCACCCACCATCATAGAGCTACAGTGTCGGATCATTTTAGTGACGGGTCACTGAAAGAAAAGGTCATTCATAACTAATCCTAAAGCTAGTGACTCAAAATTACAGAAAAAAATCTACTTTACTAACCCAGATTTTTTTTCTCATTAGTGACATGAATGTTTGCAGAGGACTTTCTGCAACAATTTTTATTTTTTACTCAAAAAAAATGCAAAAAAAAATGTAAAAAAGCACCACTCAGCTGTATTTCTGTGACAGAAAGCATCTGCCTGTTTGTGTCTGGAGACCACGGGGGTGTTGAGACCCCCGTTTAAAGGCGGATATCCTGGTGTTTTGTTGTTTATCCACCAGACGTATTGTGAGGTAAAGAATCAGAAGGGCAAAAAAAACATGATTATTATTGTGTTGCATCTCTAGTTCCTCGTCTATTCTCCTAGTCGAGTCTTTTCAGAATAAACCCCCCCCCCCCCCCCCCCCCCTCCTCTGGAGTACTGGATTGTAGATCATCTTCATCCTCTCTAATGTTTTGGTGTGTTTTCTTGAAGGGCTTATGCATATGAGAAAAAAAATCGTATCTATTTTAATCTTTATTTAATTTTTATTTTCTACAATAAACTTCCAGAGACAGGAGGTTTTTTTTTTTTTGTCCTCATTAGATCCCAAATTTTGGGAGAGCCAATGTTAAAGATGTACATTTGAATGTCGGGGAAAAAAATGTATCCTGTCTCACTCTGCCTTTTTTTATGTGTAAAGTACAACAAAAAAAAAAAGATGTAAGAGAAGGAGCTGGAGAGACTGAGATGTGTTTACCACGAGGTTTACTTTGAGGAAAGAACTTTTACATCTGTGCCAAATCGCATGAGGATGTGCATGGGCATGCACGCCCGAATTTATCTAGGCGCACTATGCTAAACCCCTCCGAGCTCAAGCGAGGGTTCAATTATTCCAGCAGTGTGAAGTAAAGTAAAAGCAAACTTTTAACGTTTAATGTTTTTGTTTTTTTTAGTTCAAAATCAAAAGTATTATCTCAGCACACTCGGTTTCAGTACTGGCATTAGCAGTCGAGCTAACTTTAGCTGTAGTGCTCCGAACCTCCTCATGTTCTCAGTGACAAGTGACGCTACTCTTTCTTCCAAAATACTATCAGTCCCGTATTGTTTGGAGCTTTTTACAAGTATATATATTTATATTTTGTGAGACATTATCAATCGAGCAACAAGTTTCTTATAGAAATTTCAACCATTTTATGGGTTGTCCATTGGTGTTTAAGTTGATGGATTTACAGGCAAAGGCAATAATATTTTAGAAAAATGGGGATGAAGTTTGAGTTCGTTATTTCTGCCCCTTGAGGTTGCTGCGAGGGCGGGAAACAATTTATGTATAAAAACACTATTAAAGCAGCAAACGTTACTATTGGTGTTTGTACAGTTCAGCTCTTGGAGTTCTGATGTTGGCCTTACTGTCCATTCCTCCTCTGTTGATGTTTTTTCAGTTGTATTCTGTACAAAAATATTTTGCAATAAATATGGAACTGTTTTCTAAGGACTTGGTGAAGAGTTTTGATTTAATCTTTTTTTTTTTTTTCCGGGAAGTTCGGAAGTCATTTTAAAATCGTCTCATAAATGTACAGAAGCATAATGCATTTGCTTAAAAAAAAAAATCTGACGGTCTGACAGTCATATTTTTAATTTTACACTTTAGCATCGTAGGTTGAAAAGCAGTGGTTATACTTATCTCACCTATTTGTTAAGCAGTGTCATTGTAAAGTATTTTCAACTGAGAAATATTTTTGAATTTAATTTTATTAAACAGAAGAACAAGTATTGAAGAAATCTCAGTTGTGAGTAGTGATGTCACATTAACCCATACGCTTGGTGCCAATGCCAAAATGTTCTTATATCAAGTCCCTCATTTAAGTTGTTTCTAATTGATCTTGAACATTACTTTGAGTCCATGTCAGCAGTTAATATATATATTCTGAAATGTTTATCTGAAGAAGCCTGACACTAAAAATATAAAGGCTATTTGTCGTTTTTTTAATTTATTTTTAATTATGTAATGGTTCTTTTTTTTTTTTTTATAATTTTTCATCTTTTTTTTGTTGAATTTTTTTCTGTTTCTTTTCTTTAAGAACTGATATGTCCGATCGTTTGTAAAATTTACAATTTAAGGGTTAAAAAAAAAAAAGTGATGCCAAAATTCTGAAAATGTTATGGTACTTGTTTTTGTACAGTACCATAAATACAATAAGCACCAAGTGCACGTGCCAGCAACAGGTCGGCGGCGACTTGTGGCGAACAAAAACCACCATGACTGTTGTATGGAGATATCTTACATTTGACGCAGATCATCGGGGACAAGTTATAGACAACGAGAAGCTAGTATGCTAACGGTGCTACAGGAGGAAACACCTGAAACTGATCCGAGCAGCTCAAAGACAGGTACGCAGAGTTCAAGGTGGGTGAGTTTCAGTTGTTAGCGTTATATTAACAACATGTTTTTTGTCCTGAAATGTTTCCGTTATTGTTTGTGAATTGTGACAGCGCCACGCACAACGTTCAGAATTGCTAACGTTAGCTCGATTAGTAACGTTAGCAACGTAGTTGACATCTCTTGTGCGCCGGATGCTAGCAACATTAGCAGCTACAGTCGTTATCATTTAATCCGTCAAAATATGAGGCTAACTTTTTAAATTCATATTTTCGCGCCATGGGTCTGTCACCTTGTTAGTCAGTTTAAACTGCTGACTATGTGTGCGCGTGAATGCCTGCACGCATGGTATCAATTTTGATATTGATTCTGGTATCACTAAACAACAGAAAATGGCTAACTTTTGCTAACGTTAGCCACCAAAGTCACCTTGTCATACCAGGATGTAGCAGCAAAAGAATGACTGTGTTGAATTGAGCAAGAACGAGTTGAATGTGAATTTGTATTTGAATATGAAATCAAGTGTTCATTTCTAAGAGGAAGTGTGAGATATTCTTCTATAGACATAATTTAAAGAGTGAACAAATCTGAAAAAGCTGATTCAGCGAAGCACCATCTTTGTTTACTCCAGGAAATTAAACAGTAAATCCTGTAGATTTACTTTGAGAGCACACTCCTTTTGATAGTGTTGGTAGTTAATAGCCAAGATACTTTTAAGTATTTTTGCAGTTTTATTTTGCATAGTCCTGTATTGCCTCTGTTGTAAACTGATATTTTACCTCCAGTGATGACACTTGAGTATTTTAGTGATTTATTTGAAGCAGATTATTACATCATGACATCATAGTTAAAATGGTGTCTTCCAAACCAGCATTATTCACATTATTAATAGTGTTGTGTTTAAGAATATTTAGACATGTTGGAAGGTAATTTTCACTTCCATCATGTCTTCCACTACAAACTTTGTTTTTCAGATTTCCAAGTATGTAATACAGTACGAAAAACAAGCTTACAATAATTATATATTTATTTCATTTATTGATGTAACAATTGTTTTGATAAAAATTATAAATTTTCTGATTTGATAGGACCATCAAAATGAAGCTTTAAAGATTTTGTTAAAAAATTTTTTTTAATGTGTAGTATTTATTATATTATATTGTATTTATTTGTACATTTCTCTACATATTTCACATTCTCTACATATTTCACATTCACATCCTCAATCTGAGTTTCTCCACAGTCGATGTAAACAGCATGAGGCGAGCAGGTTGTGTTTTCTGTAACCCGTTTAGACTGGCTGCTATCTGTGCAGCGTCTCCTGTGAAATGCTGCTGTGTGC